TACCAGGCTACAAGATGAGTCTTTTCCTCAGGGACTGAACTACAGCTTCCTGTGTTCTTGAACAGGAGGCTGCTGGGATCCAAGATTAGCAGTATGAGCACTGGTCCTAAAGGACCTTGGGCAAGTCATATATCCTCTCTGGGCCTGTTTCCTCCCCTTAAAACAAGAACATGGGACCAGATGAGTGTTTGGAGGCCTCTCCAACCTCGTGTGCGCTTACTCTAGGACACAGCTGCAACCCTGATGAGAGGTTTTATTGCTAAAAAGTCAGTGAGGGTTTATTAAGTCCTCAAACACCAGCTCCTTATACCATTCCAGCAACTGCTATGAAAGACCCTGGGTGGGGAGGCTGGAGCCAGGTGGGATGTGACAGATCTCAGATGGCTCTCAGACCACCTGCTGTTGGCCCCTTTTGTTAAAACCCTAGCCCACAAGCCCTGGGGCCTGGCTCTTGCCTCTTCCCATAGCACGAGACGTTATGGGAGCCTGGGGAAGGCCAGTGATGTGGCTTCTCTTAGCTTAGCCAAAGCCCACATTCTTTTCCTCGACCTGGCTCCACCTGTCCCCAGATGCTACCCACAAATCCCCAATAGCAGGATTCCTGGATTTCCCCTTCCCAGCCCAGAGTTGTTAATGGTTGGAATGTGGGACCAACTCTTCTACCAGAAGGTCCAGGGCGGTTGCAGCAGCTCAAAGGTGGGGATGCTGGTGACATTGACTGGGATGGAAATGATGGCCCATGGCAGCCCATGCTGTTCCAAGGAGCGGCGGATCATGTAGCTGGGAGGGCATGAAGAGAGGTGGCGATGGTCACTTTCTTGGCACCCCATCATGCCCCACTGTCCCCATCACTCTGGGAATTCCAGAGCCTGAGGACATTTTTGGCCCTCCAACCAGGGCACCCCAAAATAAGGCTTGTGAGAAAGGACTGGTGATTGCCCTTGACCTCCCCAAGTCATGGCACCCAGCCTGGTTCTGATACAGCCAGAGACAAGGAGCCCTCACCCATCTCGGCCGAGCAGGAAGAGGGCGGGGATGTCAGCTGTGCGCTGGGTACTGTCCTGGATCATCTCCACGTAGAAGCTGTCATTGTCAACTGCGTTGTCAGAGATGATCACCGCCCGCCCGCCGTGCTCCTGCACCACTCGGGTTTTGGAGAGGAAGGAGCAGCCCCTGGAAGAGGTGATGAGACCAAAGGAAAGGTAGGGTTCTAGCTCTCCCTCCCCAAGACCGCCACCCTGGGGGGAATGAAAGAAGGACCATGGAGGATTTTTTAATAAAGGCTTACAAGTAAATGACCAAAGGCTTGGATAATCTTAAGACATTTTCTTAAAAACCCTTTAAAAATTATTTAAAAACAGCAATTTCAAAGCACCACCACCAACACTGATCTACCCTATGCCTGCCCTCCCCTGTGCCCAGGGCCTGTGTAGTCCTTACCCCCTCTCCACCAGAGCAATCTGGTCCTGGATGAAGAAACCGTTGCTGAGTTCCCCGCAGGCCTCTGAAGGTTCAGCAGGGACAAGATGAATCTGCTCATACCTTGTGTGCTGAAAGGCATTTAAACAGTGAGAGTGTGAGAAGACATGCCTGCCTTACGACGGGGCTGACCATCCCATCTTAACAGCTCCTCACAGAATGTGAAGGAAATACCGAGCAATTTCTGTGTGCTGGACACTTGAGCATTTTTCATTAATTCTCACCAAGGTGTCCTGTCCCACCCTGCCTTGCCCTGAGTTAGGTAGGGAAGTTGGTATGGACCTAGAGAGGGGAAGTAATTAGCCTTAGGTCACACAGTTCAGTGGTGGAGCTAGCAGAACCTTGGCTTTTCACAACTTCACATCCCTAAGAAGACAGCTTTTCCCTCTGTGGCGCCCAGGTCTGTATTATACCCAGAGGAAGAGTTGGAAGCCCTTCCTGGTTCTGTTGCTCCTGGAAAACAGAACTGGGTTCTGCTCCCTTCTCTGTTCCAGCACTCAGGTGTTGGTTAAAGGGATGATGAAGGTCACCTCAACTTAGTGGGGGGAATGTGGAGACAGGATCAGAGATGAGAGAGCCTCCTGAACTTACAAAGATACCACCAAAGTCCTTGGCAGGTGTGGCTGTGAAGATGTATCGAATGTCCCCAGGACTCAGCACTTGAAAGTACAAATAATCATGGATGCGTAAGCCTGAAAGGTAAAAATGTACAGGTCAGAAGCCTCCAGGGAAAAGGCTGGTTCAGGTTCAGATCATGGACCCTGTGCCTTCAACTGGGCTGGCTATTGTCTGGGCCCAGGACCCAGCTTCAGTCAGTTGAGTCCTCCAGGTCGGTGGCCTCTGCCCTGGGGAGGACAAAGTTGATGCAGACAGAGTTAGTAACCCCAGAGATTTCCAGCTGCTGCTGCTTACACAGATAAGCCAGGAAGACTGAGAGCTCTAGTGTTAGCTCTAGTGTTACCTTTCCGAGGGTTAATCCATCTTTGCTCTGAAGCAGACTTGGAAGTTGCAAGGTGGAGATGTGGTAGCTGTGCACAAAACAACTCTCACCAAAACTTAAAAGTTGACTCTGGTTCCACTTCCATCCCCCTAGTCCAGCCACTATCATTTCTTCTTGTGACTTGTCCAGCTTCTTAAATGGCCTCTCTTAGCCTCCATTCTTGCTCTCTAAGATCCACTTCCCAAACGACTGCCAGGGATCTTCTTGAAAGATGTTAAAGCAAATATAATCATGTCACTATTCCCACAGCTTCAATACCCTTCAACGATTTTCCTTTGCACTTAAAATCTAAACTTAACTCTGGTCTTCAAGGCCCTACATGATCTGGCCCTTAGCTACTAATCCAACCTCATCTCTTCCTATATTCAAGCAAAATGGGCCTCCTATCAGTTTCTTCACATCTCCAAGTCTTCTTGCAAGTTCCCTCTATCTGGGGGTGCTTCCTAACCTCACTCTTCCTCTATATGGCTCACTTCTACTTATCCATCAGGCCATAGCTTAAATGTCACTTTCTCAGAGTAACCTTCCCTGTGACTGCCCTTCCCTTAAGCCTCTTCAAAATGTACTTTTTCTCCAATGACACTTGTAACATAATTTGTAATTATACAGTGTTCATAAATTTATTGTTTGTCTGCTGCTCTAGGATAAGGACCATAAGTTTATCATTTCATTCACTGCTGTATCCACATTATCTAACATAGTGGCTAGGCTATAGTGGGTGCTCAGAAAGGTTGTTGAATGAATAAACAACTAAATTTGTTCCAGCTCCACTGCATTGAGAAAGGGAATTCCTGGAACAACCAGATTTTTCCAGCGTGTGGGTCTCTTCAGCACCAAATTTTTAATGTTTTACCTGAACTTGAGTCCCTGGTTTCCTTAGCCCAGAGAGACTGAGGAATGTGAAAGGGTGGAAGCTGCTGCCACAGGTCCATTAGTCAGTCAACAAACTATTGAGCCGCTACTGTGTGCCAGGGTTGGGTCTGACTGTAGCTTTACCTGTCCTTGTGTACTGTCCAAAACATAGCCACCAGGCAGAGCTCCATTGACTTGGCATTGGGCTACAAATACAGCCTTAAATCCTAGGAGTGGAGACTTCCCATCAGATACAGATACACCCCCAGGAAGCCTTCCTGGATTAGCATTAAACTTGCCCTCCTCCGCACACACATCTTTGCCAGGCCTTTACATTTTCTGATCTGTGTAAACTATGTATATGTGCTCACGCATGTATATGGGTGTTATGTTTATTTTTTCGTGTAGATGCAAACAGGTTGGGTGTGTACGTATGTGATTGTGCATGTGAGCCTTCGTGTAGCAATGTGGGGTCCAGTATATGCATGTGAGTGCTAACATATATTCAGCTTGTATTCTCTCTAGTTGTTCGCTATTCCTCGCCCCCTCAGCCTTCTAAGTTGGCGCTAGTGGGGGCAGGGGGAAATCTTGCTTCGACGTGGGAAGCTGAGGACTCACAGCCCAGCCTCAGTCCGCGCCCAGCTCATGTCGGTGGGGGACCCGTATCCATCCACTCCAGGCGCCCATCTCTAGACCTGGTCTCCCTGTAACTCCCGGGGTCCCCAAGGTGACCCGTGGCCCCCGGCGCCAGACGTGCTCAAGGTGGACGGCCAGTCCCTCCCCGCAGCGCAACCCCGCCCGCTGCCGCTCACCGTGGGCCGCGACGCAAGCGGGGAGCCAAAGAACGAGACAACACCAGCCCGCGGCGCCGGGGACCATCTCCAGGGCCCGGCCCGGCGCCGCACTTCCTCCAGCAGCCCCGCCACTCGTAGCTCGCCGGACTTTGGCCTGACAGCTGCTCTGGCCTCCCGCCCCCAGACCCGCTCTTGCTGCTGGTTGGTGGACTGGAACGAGGCCCATGGCTGATTGGCTCTGATACCTGCTCGTGTAGCCACATTTTCCGCCCCTGCGCCTTAGCCCACTTCCTATTGGCCGAGAGAAGTGGAGCCGAGGATTGATTGGCCTAAACTCTTAACTGCAACTGCCGGCCCCCGCCTCAGCATTTCTCAGTATGGATTCGATTCTGCAAGACCTAGCTGGCTAGTGGGCGGGCGAGGGAGGCGGGGAGAACTGGAAGTGGGAGACCCGCAGGACTCGCTTCAGTCGCGGAAAGTCTTAACCAGTCAGCTCTTGCGGTCTCAGGATCCTCCCCGCGGCAGCCTCGCAGGACGACGATTTACCTTCTCCCAGCTGTGCTCCCCTCTTTCCCATTCCCTCCTTGGGAAGGCATTCATCTAGCGGCCAGGCGGTCCCCGGCGGCTCCTGCTCTGCTCCTCCTCTGCTCAGTTCCACCAGCGCTTGCGCGCTCACGGTCCGTAGGCTCTGGGAACGTGGCCTGATGTACCCGACCCTCGAGGAAGCTCTGGCCACTGTCAAGCCAGAAAACGGGCACTGGGGCCAGGTGCCCACGGCTGTTTCTCCACCATTTACTGTGTAACTGACTTGGACACCTTTCCTAATCTCTCAACCTCAGTTCCCTTATCTATAAAGTGGGCATAACAGTACCAATCCGACAGGATTGTGAGGATTAAATGAGATCACTCACGTAAATTCTTAAGCAAAAGCGTGTCAGCGTTCAAAAAATATTTGAGTTTATTGCATTCCCTTGGTCTGGCATCAGGGAGTAGAAGGGGAATGGAATTAGTGTTAGTGGAGGACGCGGGCCGAGCAAGGATTCTATATGTTCCAAGAGAATGGCACCATCGAAAACAGGCGAGTCTTCCACAACTACCATATCTCTTCGAGAGCGCCCCCGGAGGCCCAGCCTCTGGCCCTTCTAGTCACGCCGACTCTGTGGTAGCGAACCATAGAGTGGCGGAAGTGGCCCGTCCCCTTCCTCTCCCGGTCCAACGGCTTGACGAGCTTCTGGGGACTTCTCTGGCGCGGAGCATTGTGGGGTTGCTGGGCGGCCTGGGCGCAGAGAAGAGGAGTAGCGGGCCGCTGAGTAAGCTTACAAAATGATGGTGAGTGGCGTTTCGTGTATCCGTCTCCATCCGCTGCCATCTGGTCCGCAGTTGGCGCCGGCCGGCCGGGGCCGGTCCCGTGGGACCTTTCCCTGCCTATCGACTCGGTCCTTGCCTCGACTCCCTGTCTACGGGCGACCCCGGCCCGCCGCGGCCTGGCTGGGCCTGGGCACGGAGCAGGGACCCTTTGTGAGGGGCTCTAGGGGAGGCTTTGGTCCGGCTGCCTGGGGACTACAAGTCCCAGGGTGCTTCGGGGCCGCGAACCCGTGTCGTGAGCCCAGTTTTTGGAGCCAGCCGAAATAATGACCTGGGTTAAACGACTGCGGATTGAGCGTGCGTACCTGGTCGACGGTCAGACGTGGAAGCTCTGGGAAATGGGGGTGTAAAGCCGGGTGCTTCCCAGAACCGGTAGAGGCAGCATGGGGACCTCATGTTGGGCCGAGCCCAAGGTCTCATCTCTGGTCGCTCACTGCTCCCCTGCCCGCCGGCGGGATGTTCATGAATAAAGCCAGATCCTTCCGCCCGTACTTAAATCCATTCATTTACAGGTTCATTCCTTAAGTAAACGCATGTTTAGTGCCTGCTGAATGTACCAGGCCCGGCTGGTTTTACGGAGGTGTAACTTCTTAGCCAGGAGAATGGGTCAGGTAGTTGGGGACACTGCATCAGAGGTGGGAAGACGCGGCCTCCGACTCCGACCGTGTCTGCCCCTCCAGATGTGACTTTTCTAGCTGACCAGCTAGCTGCTTTTCTAGTTGACCAGCTAACTCTGGTTCTCCTTTTGTTAAATTAGGGAGGTTGGTGAATACTGGAGTTTCTCTGTAGCCCTCTCCCACCCAGCCCGCCCCACCCTCTTCCAGGGCATCCGTTTCTCTGTCTCAGAGCTGCAGATGCCTTCCGTGGGCCCCAGATCTCTGTGGTGTCTCCGGAGTTGCTGTTGAACATAGCCAGCTTCTGAGTGTTTGAGGCAAAACCCTGACTAAGACATTGCTCCCTGTGCACTTGGCAGATTATTCATTCATTTTAGCCTGTCAGGCCAACTCAGTTCTCTATGTTCCTGCTTCCTCAGCTTCTCCCTGTCCTAGGAGATGTCAAACTGACACCTATGAGGTGTTCATTCTGCTACCAAATGCCTTGTGAACCCCATTTGTACCCAAGATAGAAGGAACCTCCAGTACTGCCTTTTTCAGGCCATCTTCAACATTGCCTGTTCCTCAAGTTGTCTTCAACTTCTGTGCAGAGGCGGCAAAGTAGAACAGTCCAGAGTAGGCTCTGGAGCCGCACTGGATGCCTAGGTTTGTAACTAGCTCTGCCATGTACTAGGTGTGTGACTGCGAGCATGTTATTGCATTTCTGGCCCTCAGTCTGTTAGAAGGTATTAAATGAATACATAAGTGCCCAGCATGTTGTAAGTACTCAGCATGTTAGCTAGTCGGCTTGCTTCTTTTCCTCCCTGTAATACATCTTCCTGGCAAGACTTACCGTAAGAGTTTTGGTTGGCCTCTTAAGAACTGGGGATCAGAACCAAGAGTCTTCTGACTGATGATAAAACCCTTCACCAAGAGGCTCCAGACCACCACCTTGGGTTTTTCCTGAACTGATCCCTGATCTGTTTCCCTGCTGTATTGCCTGTTTATATCTCTCCTTTTGGAACGTGAGACTTCAGTCACCAAGAATTCTCCTTGCTGTCATCGAATTGGTACATAGTATTTTAGAAGCCTTCTGTGATTGGAAGAGAGGTAAAAGGGTCCCCCAGAAACCTTAGTCCTGTGACTTTGGTACGTACAGAATACATGTCCTTGCTTTTGTGGTGTTGGGCACTAAGGATTAGACCATATATGCCTTGGCACATGAACACTTGTTGGTTTATAGAACATCAAGCGTAATAATGCTTAATAAAAGTTTTTAAGGAGGGTGAATAAGATCATTAAGCTGAAATTACCAAGTTTTCCGTGATACCCTTGGCAGATTATAGGATTCTGCTATCATTTCCTTTTACTTGAGTAAAAATGTGGTTGGAAAGTAACTTAGGGTTAGAAGCTGGACTTCCCGTGGTAGTGCCTGCCCCTGGGGAACTGTTAGAAGAGGACCCATCCCTAATTGACCTGAGTTGGCTCAATCCGGCCCTGCTACCTTTATCTCCCCATAGGATCTCTGTACCCAGCCTACAATTTCTGTAGGGCCTATAAAGCATAGGGAACTTGGGGACAGCGTGGTCAGCTACTTCCAAGCCCTTCTTGCTTTGTACTTAAGAATTCTCATGAATTTAGTGTCACCATACTGCAATGCTTTTCCAAAAATAAAAAGCGAGTGCCTCCTTATTTCATGGCTCGTATCAAGGACTTTCGAGTGTAGTTGACCTTTGAACAATTTGGGGATTAGTTGCCCCAACTCTCCACTTAGTCAAAAATTTGCTTCCGATTTAGTCAACCCTCCATACCCAGGGTTCTTCTGTATCTGCGGATTCAACCAGCCTTGGATAGTGTAGTACTGTCGTATTTACTGCTGAAAAAAATCCAGATACATGTGGACCCACACAGTTCAAACCTGTGTTGTTCAAGAGTTAACTGATACGTAATGGGAGAAAGTGGGGCATTTTTGGAGGACAGATCTTTCCTTAGAAAAGTTGCTAGTTGTTTAGTTTTTTCTTTTTCCAAATGTAAATCAGACTATGCAGTTCCTCTGCTAAAAGCCTTTCCAGGGCTTCCCTTTGTAGGATTAAAATCCAAACTCCTTACTGCAGTCTACAGGTGAGTAGTGATCTGATTCCTGCCTGCTTCTTCAGCCGTATCCAGGCTTCTGCTTACATACTACCCTCTAGCTACACTGGCCAAAGGAGTAAAACTTTTTTAAGGAATTGCCCAGTTAATATGGACTCAGCCTCATGGGTTGCTAGACTTCCTGATGTGTGAATTCCTGGCTCCTTTTGTTTGACTGAGAAAGCTCTGTGCTTTCCTATGTGCCTTCCCTTTCCTATGTGCCTTCCCTGCTGAGACACCTGAAGTATCCCCTAGGAGTGGACATGGGCAGTGACTTTCAAACTTTATATTGCAGTCCACAGTAAGAAATAAATTTCAGATCATAGCCTAATAGCACACACATAACTGACATAACAAAAATTTTGAAACAGTATTTACCTTGACTGTAGTCTGTTTCACACAAATAAAATTAGTGACAAATATTGGGAAGACTGGGTCTGGTCCATGAGCTCATCTCTGAAGGCACAGGCTTGGATGCAGAGGGAAAGCAGCCTTGTTTGCTAACCTGAGGAATTAGTGTCTGTGCTAATGGTCACTGGAGTAAAGATACCTATGCAGGCCCTTCAGAATAAGCAGATGTCCTTGTCTTCCCATAATTGCTAAAGCAGTTCTGCAGATTAAGCGTCTACAAGGATAGTAACTGTTCTGGAGGCCAGTGCAAAACGGGAAAATTTGTTCTGGGTATCTGATTGGAGATTAGTCACAGGGAGGCTTTATGGAACCAGCATGAGAGATGGTAACATTGCTATACGAATTAGATTTGTTGTCATTTTGTGAGGCAGGACAAAGGTGCTCTTTGTTTCTCTGCCTAGCCACTTCCCTGCACTCCGGCTAAACATCACTGGTAAAGCTGTCTGCCTGGGCATCTCCAGGACAACATCTGAAGCTGCTGGCACCTCATGTTTCGCATCATTGCCCTAGGATTAAGCTCTAATGCAGATACATGGATGTTTGCTGGAGGGTGAACACTGAGCATGGCCTGCTTCTTCCTGTGCCGTGATCTAATTCCTCAACACGTGGGATTAGGGTCAGAAGTTGAAAGGGCTACGCTTTTTCAGCTGGGCGCGGAAGAATGCATTTACTTGATTTGTTCTTTTTGACCAAATTGGTGCTTCTCAAACCATTTTCTAGCACACCTGCAAGATATGTTGTGGTCTTGGCAGTGTCTCTGGAGGTAGAGGCTGTTTAAGGAATGGATGTGGTGGTTGGACAGCAGGGTAACGTGGTTTAAAAAGGTCTCCAGATATTTCTGTTACTGGAGAGGCAGGAACATGTTCCCTCTCCCTCCTTGAATCTTATGTAATGAATGATTATTAAAAGTAGTAAATTGTTCTTTCGTCTAGCCCACACCGGTTATCCTGTTGAAAGAGGGGACTGATAGCTCCCAAGGCATCCCCCAGCTTGTAAGTAACATCAGTGCCTGCCAGGTGATTGCCGAGGCTGTAAGAACCACTCTGGGTCCCCGTGGCATGGACAAGCTCATTGTGGATGGCCGAGGTAAGTCTGCAGAGTGCAGAAGAGGAGACTCCTCTGAGTATTGGGGCTAGCAGAGATTGGCATCAGAAATCCCACTGCTTTGAAGATCTCTGAAGGATTTCTCACCATGAAGTGGTTCCATTTCATCATTGTCCTGAATGTTGAGCCCTGGGAATGTATGGGAAGAGCTGGGCTTACAAATCTGTTGCCTTGTAAAGAGATTTGGCCTAGAAACACAAAGTAGAATCTTCTGGAATTGCCTGTGGTCACTCCCATTGTATCATGTTGTGGAGACAAAGAAAAAAATTCCCCCTTATGTTTTAGTGTGTTAACTTAGAAATGAGATACTAGGGTATCAACTGTTAAAAATATCTAAATGGTTATTCATTCTTTTTTCTTTTCTTTTTCTTTTTTTTTTTCCTACGGAGTACTGGGTATTGAACCCAGGACCTTGTGTATGCTAAGCATGTGCTCTACCACTGAGCTGTATCCACCCCCTCATTCTTATTTTTTAAAATGTTTTGTACATCCAATAGATGTGTGCTGTTTACTGTTCAGAGAAAATCAGGAGTTCATGGTCTTTAGAAATGTGTGATTTTAGGTGACCCTTTGTGCACAGAGCTAACTGTAAAAAGATCAGTTCATCCCCACCACGAGCCCCTCGGCCCTATCCCCACAAAATGTGTGTGGGATCCAGGTCCAGCCAGAAGACAGAACTTAAGAAAAGGTCTTTACATTTTTACTTTGTGTTTGTACCTTTTAAGGCAAAGCAACAATTTCTAATGATGGAGCCACAATTTTGAAACTCCTTGATGTTGTCCATCCTGCAGCAAAGACTTTAGTGGACATTGCCAAATCCCAAGATGCTGAGGTAGGAAAATCAAGCCTCCGTGTTTCAGTGGAGATTGAAACACATGCGTGCTTGCTCCTTGGCTCTCCTCTCTTTAAAACATTTTGATTGTATATCCAAAATTATTTCACAAGTAATACATGTTTGTAAAAAATATTTAGATGGAATTAATAGTCCTTTAAAATTCTCACTGTTCCACTGTATGTAGCTGAGTTCTTAGGACCAGGCCTGTGTGCTGTCATTCATATGAGTTGCTAGGTAAACAATTTAACCTCTCATCTGTTGTTCACCTTATAATATGAGGCTGGAGACTGCTTCCAGTTTACCTTTTTCTTTTAAAAAAAATATATATGGTGGTAAAATATACATAGCATAAGACTTAGCATTTTAACATGTGCAAGTCAGTGACATTAACCTGTCTGCATTTTTAAAAACCATTTCTAACACTGGAGTCTTGATAATAATGTTGAGAGAGATAGGTTTGCGTTTCAGAGTATTACAGATATGTCCTATAGTTATATTAAAAGGTCTGTTAAGACGCAGTTTGTCCTATATATAAAGCAGTACGGCTTATATAAAATTAAAGTGACAAGAGTCTAGATTTGATCTGTTAATGTTTTCAACAAGGGAATACCTTTCTGTCCAGGAAATTGACAGCTTAAACTCTTCACCACAGTACCTTTTTTTTCTCCCTAAAATCCCTTACATTACACAGTGGACATAAGGGAGGTAAAAAAAATTTCTTCCAAAAAAAAAAAAAGAGAAACTAAAACAAAAAAGAAACCAAAATAAATTCTTCCAAATCAGAGGTTAGCCAGTTTTCTTAAAAGCCTTCATTCTTCTTCTCCCTCATTAAAAATAGGATTTAGATCCCATCATAGAAAATTGCTGTGTGAGAAAGATTAGCAGACTAGTAATCTGCTTATTCCAAATAGTGTTTAAAATACGAAGCACTTAGAGGTCTGTTTTGTAAACTTCTGTAGTAGTTTGTTCTCCTTAGAGAATGTTCGTCTCATACCTCTTGCTACCATGGTTATTTGTGATGGGTAAGCATTGTATTAGAAGCATGACGGAAACTGTCTTATTGATCATAGTACCTTGAACATAGTAAGTTCTCATTTGCATACATGATTTCGTATTCTGGGGAAGTTTGCCCAAGTCAGCCCTTTTTGGAGGATGGGCCTGGCTGGGGAGTTAATTTTGTGGCCCAGGTAATGAGATGGATACCTAACTACCAACACTTCTACTTGTTGTAAAAAGCAGTGCTTCCTGGAAAAGGCTTGACATTCATTTAAACGGCTCCCAGTTGGAATGGGTAGAATGCCTGAAAATGGAGTTTCAGGGCTTTATTCCTGAACATGAGAATACGTGAATTTCCTTTCGTCTTCTTCCAGGTCGGTGATGGCACCACCTCAGTGACCCTGCTGGCTGCAGAGTTTCTGAAGCAGGTGAAATCCTACGTGGAGGAAGGTTTGCACCCACAGATCATCATCCGAGCTTTCCGCACTGCCACTCAGTTGGTATGGGAGCCCTGGTGAACTTGAGCACCTTGTGCCTGGACACCTTCATGTTTCTCCTAGGATTTACTGGGGTGTGGAGGGACTGGGAACAGGGTTCCTTGAGCATTTTCTGAGTTCTCCCTAGGAATCGCTGTCTTATTAATAGCTCTGTGATAGCCGTTCAGTAGCTGGTTGACTAGATACGTTACTTAATCTCTTCAAGCCTCGGGTTTCCTGACAGACATGTAGATATACCATAGGCTCTTGGTAAATGAAAGCTACTTTTGTTTTTAATCCAGTACCTCTTGGCTCATCTTGAGACCTTGCTTTTATTGACCTTGACCTTCATTCTGTGGCCTGGGGCAAGTCAGTTCCTCTAGACCTTACTTTTTCTTTTTACTGTCCAGTTTTGGAGTGGTGACATTAAATGAAATCATATATGAGAAGTATGTAGGAAAGGATATCTTTTGAAAAGATATATTTAACGTATAAATATATATATCGTATATTATACAACATAGCAAATATATAAAGTACTAAAAGTTGTCATAGTTGCTTTCCATAAGCCAGAAGGCTTAGGCTAATCTAGTGTCATAGTGTTTCTACTCATTTGTTTCAATGCGTTACCTGCAGATCCAGAGCTGAATCTTGGAGGTTCCCTGATGATTCTTCAGAACTATACTTACTCTACATTTCTAACTTTGAGTGTTCTCTGAACTATAGAAATCTGTATTTTTCTAGGCAGCTACAAGATTTGGAAATGGTTTTTTGGTTATAGAGTAGAAATGCTTAAGATTTGGGAATAAACAGATTGGGGACTAGGAAGAGAATTTGGGATCCACTTCTTCAGTTCTTTATTTTCTTGCAGGCAGTTAACAAGATAAAAGAGATCGCCGTGACTGTGAAGAGGGACGATAAAGTGTAAGTTTGTGGTTGGCTTTGTCAGAACCTTGACTTCCTGTGGCCAGATTGGATGCATCATTATGCTGGGATCCCTATATGGGCCTGGGGCTGTTTGGTTTTTGCTAAACCCTTTGTCCCCCAGCCCGTGCAGTACAAGAGAGGCTGTAGACTGTAGTTTAAAAGCTGTCACTTGTGAAGTCTTTGACTGTAGTCACCATCTGTCACTGATACAGACGTTGAAGTTGTTGAGGGCTGAGTTTAGAGTATAGAACAGAAGCCGTCTTCACGTTGCAATAGAATCAGATAAGAGGGGCTTTCAGGACCTGATGCAGTCCCACCCTTGTGTCCTAGGGAGCAGAGGAAGCTGCTAGAGAAATGTGCCATGACTGCTCTGAGCTCCAAGCTGATCTCCCAGCAGAAAGCCTTCTTCGCTAAGATGGTGGTGGACGCAGTAATAATGCTTGATGATTTGCTGCAGCTTAAAATGATTGGAATCAAGAAGGTGCAAGGTGGCGCCCTAGAGGTAAGCCTGCTATGGCCTCTCTAGGAGGTTCTTGCTTTCACACTGCCCCTTCAGACAGCTTGGCATCACAGGAGAGCACACATTATAGGTGTAGAGAGAATGCACTTTGGACTGGGAGGCAGGCTGGAGCTGTTCCCCATACTGCTGCCTACTGTGGGTGCATTTGTCACCTCTGTGGACCTATATTTACTTGTCAGCAAAATGGAAGATTGAACCGGCTGATTTTCAGAATCTTGGTGTTAATGTGGGAGGGTATAGAGCTAGCTCTGATAAATAATCTAAAACTCTCTCAATGAATAAATATGAGAAGTATTTTCCAGTCCATTCTTCTCCAAGTGATATGGCCAAACTTCTTTCTTTTGGCCATTTATTTTGAATAGATGATACATAATTCAAAAGGTATAGAAGGTCCTAAAGGAAAAAATAAATGTCCCCTACACCACTCCTGCACCAGATACAACCACTGTTAACTCTGTGTGTGTGTGTCCTTCCAGAAGTACTCTGTGCGTCTATAAGTACAAATATAAATACTTTTTTCTTAAACACAAATGCTCACTTATAATACATAGTGTTCTGCAACTTGCTTTTGTCTATTTAACAACCTATTTTATAATTTGATCCACATCAGCATGTGTAGCTCTAAACTCAGTGCTGCCCAATAGAACTTTCTGTTGGAATGGGACTGTTACATATCTGTGCTGCCCAGTACGATAGCCAGTAGCCAGGTGTGGCTGCTGAGTACTTGAAATGCTTTTAGTGGAACGGAGGAACTGAATTTTAAGTTTAATTTTCGCTTATTTAAATTTAAAAAGCAACATGTGGCTAGTGTATTGCACAGCATATTTTCTAACACAGAAGTATCTGTCTGGAAACAGTCTTTGATGTTGGTGTCTCTGTGCTACTTCGGACTTTTTCCAATCCTTGGCCTGCCCTACTTTTTCCTTTACTCTTCCTTGGTGACCTCAGCCTGAAGTGATTTGGAAAGGGCAAGACCTGCTTGAATTGGAGTATTATATGCTGGCACTTTGCTTTTTGTTCTTTGACTTTTACTTCTCCAAATTGCATTTCCATTCTGTCCATCTCCCTCCTCTTCCTCCTGTCATGGTACATGTCCATGGGCTAAGGTCTTCTTTCCGTAATAAAGCTGTGAGGAATCTGGAGGTCATCTGAGTCATTCCCCTGTCTTCAGGCCCCAGTTTCACTCATGTTTCAGCCCATTCTCTCCATCATGGCTTGCCAACTTTGTCTTTATGCAATGCTTTTGTAGTAATGTTCCATCTTCTCCTGTGCCTTCCTACTTCCATAGACCCTTGAGATTAGATTAGCATTCACTAAACTAGGGATCAGAACTAATAATCTCACTGCTGAGAAAGCCAGGGGCTCCAGGCCACACATACTTTCTTTCAGACTGCCCCACATCCCTTAACTCTATGTAAAACCCTTAACACAGAACCTGACACATAGAATTCAGTAAATGGTGGTGGTTATTATTTAGTTATTCTCAGGATTAACTGAGAAATTCCTGATCTATATCTTCAACCTTTACCTCTCCCTTGAGCTTTCCACTCCTGTGTCTGACTGCTGCCGAACTCACTGTCTTGTCCTCCAAACCTGTAATCTTTTCTGTATTCCTTGACATAGTTGGTATCATCACCATTATTCAGTCGCTCAACCCAGAAATCTAGGGTCATCTGATTGATGACCATTGTCTGATTTTATCTACCAATTTATCATTTATTTCTTCAGTCTGTCTCTTTTACTAGACCATTGTCCTAGTAGTGGTCACCCTTCCTCTACTCTCGCATCCCCTAAATCCACCCTATTTTCTGTGGCAGGGTGAAGCTCCCCAGTTTACACTGTGTGTAAAACCTGTTGGGGTTCTACGTTGCCTATGGAATAAGAGCCAGGCCTTAGCAGAGCCTTTAAGGTTCTCCTAAACTGGTTTCTTCTCTCTTACTTTGTATTCCAGCAACTGCAAATGGCTTTTCATCCTCTGATTCCACCGCACTGCTTCTGCTTCCTAGGAACATCTTCTTTCTCTTTCCTATGTGACTAATTTCTATTTATCCATCTTGATTCAGTTCACACATCATCCCCTCTAGGAGACTGTAGATTTGAATGATGCATGAATCTGTTCACTGATAGGCTACAGTAAATGGACTGGGATTGTAAATTCGCACTGGCAGAGAACATACGGGTCATTGAACTGAATATCCCCTTCTTTATGGAGTGCGAAATGACTAGGTCATTTAGTAAGAAAGAGATCTGAGGTTTGAACGTAAGTCTTTGATAAGGCTGAAGTCACTTCCAGGCACAACATGCTTTCTATTCTGCCCTGCTCTTAAGTCCACTCCACAGCAAGCTCGGTTATGCAGCGAGTGGTGGTAGTTCATGTTTTGAGGGATCAAGATCTGGGGAGCCACAGTGATAGCACGGGAGCTGTGCAGGAAATTCCTGACCCTTAGGACTTTTTGTTTTCATCTCCTGGAAGGAGGAAGCTTCTAGGCCATAGCACACAGGTGTGTGTGCTCACGTGCAGTAGAGGTAGGGAGGAATATTGTGTGAGCAGTAGGAGACTGGGAGGTGGGGAGTTGGGATCAAAGTGTGTCCCTTGACACCTGCTCTGGAGGTAAGTCTTAGAGGACAGCCCTTTACCATGCTTGGCCTCTGCAAGCTAAATGATTTTCTTTATATTGACGGGGCAACCAGAATATGATCTGTATTTTTTCCAGCTTTTATGGTGATAGAAAGGCTTTGTTAGAACGGTGAAGTAAATAAAAACATGGTTAACTCTTCCAGGTTCACAAAAATGGACATGCATTGGCCCAGCGCACCACTAACTTGATTTCATTTCATGCTAGTACTGAATTGTTGAATTGTTTTATGTTTTTTTTAACAGGAGTCCCAGCTCGTAGCTGGTGTCGCATTCAAGAAGACTTTCTCTTATGCTGGGTTTGAAATGCAACCCAAAAAGTACTATAATCCAACGATTGCCCTTTTAAATGTTGAGCTGGAGCTGAAAGCTGAGAAAGATAATGCTGAAATCAGAGTCCACACAGTTGAGGTAGGCCCTACCAGCTGGCAGTGGCGTGGAAATGGGCAGCATTCTGGGCCAAAGTCTTGGGCCTTTGTGGCCATCTTGGGCCCAGCTCTGTTTCTCAGGTACATAATGGGCTCCTTTCTCCTCCTGTTTCCCTAAATATTGATGTCTAAATATTGGGCCCACTTCTTTACTCACTTTATGCTCTCTCTGAGTGACCTCGACATGAGGAGGTTTGGATAGGGCAAATCTGTTGAAAAATTAGCCTCTGGCCCCACCGGAGGGGCTGGCCGGGGCTCTCTGGCTATACAGTGAGCCTGGTATTTTGATTCCTCTTACTTGGGAAGATGTGAGCCTTCTAGACCGAGTCCCACACTGCAGGAAAAGGTATGCTCCCAACATTGATATTACCAAGGCTGTCTGCAGGTAGCAGTGTCACTCAGCCATAAGCAGGTATCTTTGGGAAATGTGTCTTCAATGCAAAGTAGCCTTTGTGGGAAAGGGTCTTGTCCTTGGGAACTCCACGGGTGCAACACCTCAGAGGAGGCTAGAACTTAGCCAGGCTACACTGTGTCTCACACCTTGGCAAATGCCAGCTCTGGAGTTGCTCCCAGTCCTCAGGTCATTTCCTGCTTTGTGGTTGAAAGTTTTAGGTGGTTCCTAAGTTGACTGAAGAGAGGCTGGCTATTCAGTTTAGCCTCATAAGTAAATCAATGTATTTTATTTTGGAGGGATTTTTTTTTTGAGGAATATATTTTAATATGCCATATATGCTAACATCCACCTCAAAGCATCCTCATCCTTTTCTGGGTTTCTTCAGGATTATCAGGCAATTGTTGATGCTGAGTGGAACATTCTCTACGACAAGTTAGAGAGGATCCATCAGTCTGGAGCCAAAGTCGTCTTGTCAAAGCTCCCCATTGGGGATGTGGCCACCCAGTACTTCGCTGACAGGGACATGTTCTGTGCTGGCCGAGTGCCGGAGGAGGATCTGAAGAGGACAATGATGGTAACCAAGTTTTCATAGGCTGCTTCCTGGTTGTTGTGCCCCCAAAGGTGCACTGGAGTACGCTGTTGGGTTGGCATGTCAGTCTAGGCCTGTCTTCTTAACTCCTTTTCCCATGAAACACTACAGTCCCAGTGTGTGTATGCTCAGTATACAAAAGTAGTCTAACCAAAACAAGTCAGGAAATCTAATTTGTGAGGGAACCTAGCAGTAGTACTATGATCACTGGATAAGCTCAAGTATTTATGCTTCCAGACAGGTTTCTTCCCTTTCTTCTTGAGCATCTTACCAAAGATGCTTTAGGGCTAAAGCACCGATCCTGACTTCAGTTGCTGGGCCCAAGGCACTCTAGTTTGGGGGAGAGGGTGTTGGGTGAAGCGAAGGGTCACTGACATTTCCTTTTAAGCAGGTTTATTTACCCGTCATATGTCTTAGTTCTGTTTTGTTTTCTCCTCTTCTAGAGGGAGCCTGGAGGTCAAGGGTGAGAGTGGGTCACCCAGTGCAGAAGTCTCTGGGGTACCGTGGCCATGTAACCTGGGAATTGGCTTTAAGACTAGGTGGCAGGCAGGGGGAGAAGGGTATGTAGCTCAAGTGGTAGAGCGCATGCTTAGCATACACAAGGTCCTGGATTCATTCTCTAGTACCTCCTCTAAAAATAAATAAATTAGTAAACTAATCCCCCCCCCAAATTAATAAAAATTAAAAAAATAAGTAGGTGGCAGGAAGCTCACTTCTGACCTCATGTGAGCCTTCGCCGCTAGGTGATCTTGCTGCTTGTGTTCCTCAGGCTTGCGGGGGCTCCATCCAGACCAGTGTGAACGCTCTGTCAGCAGATGTGCTGGGCTGCTGCCAGGTCTTTGAAGAGACGCAGATTGGAGGCGAGAGGTGAGCCGTAGGCCCGGGCCCCCTATTTGCTTGGCTCACGAGACCTGCCTGGCTGCGGCCTTCTGCCGCCTTTGGGATGTCGTGTGTATGGCATGTGCTACTGCTCATCTGAGAGCTCATCTTTTGAGGCATAAAGAACTCAGGTAAATTGAGTGTTTCAGGAGGGGTGAGGATCCAGTTGGGTCTGAAGGCTGACTCCAAAATTTTTATGTCCCAGTGGTACAGCCCTAGACCTTCCCAAAAACGTGTCTTTAAGGGTGGGATTAGAGAGCCTTCGTGAGGAACAGAAGAGCAGCTGCTGAGTGTCTGGAGGACTTGCTGAGGTCAGAATATGGTGGTTGGCAGCAGAAAGCAGTTCACATACATGATTTGACCCCGCATATAGGTACAATTTCTTCACTGGCTGCCCCAAGGCCAAGACTTGCACTATCATCCTCCGTGGTGGCGCTGAGCAGTTTATGGAGGAGACAGAGCGGTCCCTGCACGATGCCATCATGATCGTCAGGAGGGCCATCAAGGTACTAGGCTGGGGGCTCCCAGCCTGCACAGCTCATTCTACCTCCTGAGCTGACAAGAACCTGGATTTGTGTGGTGATTCCTTCCCTATACAACCTGCTTTCCACGCAGGGCATGTAGGCCCTGATTGTCTCACAGATTGTAAAGAAACAGCTTCAGTCTCAAAATAGGTCATGCTCCCTTAAAGGCTAAGACTTGTGAGCAACTGTGGAGCTGATGTAGTCAGCCGTCCCAGAGATTGTGCCAATGCCCTCAAGCTGCAAGTGACCTTGAAGTTGGTCAGAAACCGTAATGTTCACCAGATTAAAGTTGGGATGTGCTAGACACGGTCCATGTCTGGACCTCCTGGGGCTTGGGCTGGGGGAAGGAATAAGGAACCTCTCTCTGGGTCAGGGGGCCTATTGACTGAGTGGCCCAATTTAGCCATGGCTGGAGCTTGGACCAGGGGACGCCTTGCATTTAGAGGTGGGTCTTGTCTCTGCAGAATGATTCAGTGGTGGCAGGTGGCGGTGCCATTGAGATGGAGCTCTCCAAGTACCTGCGAGATTACTCAAGGACCATTCCAGGAAAACAGCAGCTACTGATTGGGGCTTATGCCAAGGCCTTGGAAATTATCCCACGCCAGCTGTGCGACAATGCTGGCTTTGATGCCACAAACATCCTCAACAAGCTGCGGGCTCGGCATGCCCAGGTGGGTTACTCCTCTCCTCAGGGGCCAGGGGTTTGGTGGATGGGGCTATATTCTGAGTGTGTGCTGTGCTTACTCAAGCCCTGCGTGGTCAGCCCAGGTGATGGTGCTGGCACCAAACCCAGTACCACCTGACTGCCTCCTCTGAGGTCAGAAGGAAAGCCACGGTGCCAGGGCTGGAGGTTCCAGGGTTTCTTCGGTGCTTCTACCAAGAGTGTAATCGGTGCTCACGGTGCATTGACAGGAACCAGAGGAACCCTATAGCCTTCTGTCTGGAAGCACACGCTGACCTCGTGTACTGGGTTTCTCAGTGTGGTGGTGAAGCACTCCCAGGCCCTGCTGACAGTAGTCCAGCCATGGCTCTGCCACCTCCAAGTTGTGACCTCTCTGAGAACTTAATTTGTTCATCTGCTATGTAGCAAATCTTTGTTAAATGCTCAGTGCTGTGACAGCAGCACTCAGTGAGTGACCTTGCTTCTGACTTGGGTTAGAACTTAAAGCAAGTCACTTTACTGCTGTGTGTCTCGGTTTCCTTGTCTGTAAAATAGGAACTGATGGAGGCATTGAGATGATAAGGGATTGGAAAGTGTTCTTTTTGAGAAGCAGGGTTTGACATACACAGTCCTCAGGTAACTTGAGGATGGGGCCTCCCTAAAACAGCAGCGGGAGCGGGCCTGGAGGGCTTCTGCGGTCGGCCTTTCCCAGGTTAGAAGGGGCAGTGGTGGGAGGAGGTGCACTTTCAGGCTCCTGTTGTGATGCCGGCAGGTTCAGAGTCTGGGGATTCCTAACAATCCAGGTCATTGGGAGGGTGTGCAGGAAGAACCGTGAGGGCCGTTTCATATCTTCTTCTCCCTCTCTGCTCTCAGGGGGGCATGTGGTACGGGGTGGACATCAACAACGAGGACATTGCTGACAACTTTGAGGCCTTCGTGTGGGAGCCAGCCATGGTGCGGATCAATGCGCTGACGGCAGCCTCGGAGGCCGCATGCCTTATCGTGTCTGTAGATGAAACGATCAAGAACCCTCGCTCAACAGTGGACGCACCCCCAGCTGCTGGCCGGGGCCGAGGTCGTGGCCGCCCTCACTGAGAGGCACCCCGGCGCTCACAAGAGTTGGCCAGCAGGCTGGCTGCAGGCTGTGCTTCACTCACTCTGTCTTGGTCAAATGGTGTTACAAGGAAGGGGTAGTATTTGGCCCACTCTGTTCTCACTGGAGGTTATTTAAATAAAACTTAAGACTTAGAATTCATTTTCCACATTATTTAGGCACAAGAGTTTTACTCATGAATGTCTTGACTGCAGCTCAGGATTTTAGCTTCGCGTGTACTCACCTAACAGGTAGAAAAGAGAAAATGACCTTCTCTCCTTTGGGCTGAGTCTTCCACAGCCTCTCGTTGTTAAAGTGGGCTGTAGGTCCACTGCCAGGGCAGAAGCTCCACTGGACAGGGCCCCTGCCTGGAAGTTTCACTTTGGTTGCTTTCTCAGTCCTAGAAGCTGACGTGGAGTCACTTCCTTGTCTTCTGACATCATCTTACTTAGCCCTGGCCTAGCCGGGCATTCCTCCCCGGGTTTCTCTGAGTTTGAGTAAATGCATCACATTACCTTGTCTGCCTTTTCTGCTCCCATATTCTTTTGGCTCAGTCCTTTCATCCCTCTTACTCAAGATTTTGAGGTTGAGGGCTTGGAGGAATGTTTTAGAGAGGCCACACCCTCTCCAATTCTTAGGTTTCCATTGAGGACGTAGCTGAAGGAGCCCCACCCGGTCTTCTCCATTCACGGTCAGTAGTCTTGGGGGTCCCTTCCACTTTCTTCTGACCAGTGGAAGTTTGGAATGGCTAGCGCAGATAAACGAAATCAGCAGAGTCTGCCTCATTTATGCTAGTCCTGAGAGTTGGCCTGCAGCTAGCTGTAATTAATAGTTGTTGAACCCAGAAGTAAAGAATTATGTACCTTGAGCCACTGAAGCTTCTGCTGCTGAATCTGGAAAAGGATTTTTTAAAAAAAACCTTTGAGTCGAACCACTCATGGTTAGATGGACTCAAAAGCAGAATGAGGTGGTGGCAGGTCCAGACTTTGGAGTTTGGCATTCCTCCTAACTTGATGGTCCTGAACTAAGTTCTTTCAGCTGTTCTGTATGCCGATGACAGTAGCTGACTGAGTTGCAGGGGTAAGTGTTCATCTACTAGTTCGATGCTAGAGCCACACACAGTTTAAGCCTCAACACCTGTTTTTTCTGATTTTTAAATAGACCTGAGTAATTGAATCAGTGGGGAAACCCCATTTTGTAAAATGGGCACATTGAACCAGCCCGTGATAGACAACTTGGTCTCCATCAAGCCAAAGCCTGACTGGCTGGCCAGAGCCTCCTAGGGTGACCACGCCAGTGAGGGGATGGGTGGTGTCTGCTGTTCCTGCTGTACTTGTGCTGGGTTGCCCTTGAGGATGGCGGCTTCTGGCTGAGAGTCAGAAATGACACCTCAAGTCTTTCTGTCCACCTGCAGACACCGAAAGCTGTGGCAGGGGCAGAAGCCTTCGTGGCCTTCCTCCAGCGATGTCTGCTGTCCTGAGACAGGTCATCCTGATGCTTCACTTCACCTCACTGATGCCACTCAGTTCATCCACCTCCTTCCTACCTCAGTGCATTCAGCCTCAGAAAGGTTTGGGGACAGACTGGCAAATGTGGCCACCTACCATTTACTTCCCTGAGGCAGATACTGTTCCAGTTTCACCATCTTTTATTGGATACAAAGCCACAAATTCTGATGCCCATGTGAGTCTTTAAATACATACACTCGAGTACATTCGGCAAAGGGCATCTATGGGTGATGTGGAGCAAAGTGCTGGGATGGTGATGCCTGGGTGGGGCCGAAAAGTGGGGCCAGGGAAGGCCCCCTGGGGGCTGGAGGTACAGGCACCACTTCAGAAACAAAACCAAGAAATGCTCTCCACCCCTCTGCCTGATGTGCTTGGGGTGAGGGAAGACCCAGTCACAGCTCAGGCCCATTGCAGCCTGGCTGTGCGGGGAAGGCAGGGCCTGGGGGCCAGTTGGAGGTCCCTGCCAGTAGGCCTCACTAGAAGAGCCGGGCCTACTGGTGCCAGCCACGCAGCAAGCCTGCCCCTGAATACAAGACCTCTGGCAGGGCAGGGCCAAGCCTGGGGCCATGCCAGCGGTGGCAGGTGAGGCTTGGACTCGTGGCGGGGAAGCCTGCCTGATTGTCAGGGCAGTCTTGGGACTGGCCAGGGTCCCAAGGGGTTGGGGTAGGCCTAGGAGCTGGTTGCTTTAGTTGGCCCTGGTATTCTGATCTTCACTCAATCCTAAACCTTATCCTCAGGCAAGGCTGTAGATGAACACACTTGTCTGGGAATAAATACATACACACAATACACAGCAATATATACAGATAAGCGGGCCTGGGACAAGGCTGGGTGAGAAAGCATGGCCACCAGGGGTAAAGAGAGAAGTGCCGGGCCCCTGGGGAGGGAAGTTAGACTCATCAGGGACCAACAGGCTGGGACAGATCCCACTGGTATGAGTTAACTCCTCTGGGCACTTGGGCCCTGCACCCACTCTCCTGTCTCCTGTCTTCACCCAAAGTCCACCAGGAACTGGATCTTTGGCACCAATAATCACTCTGGAAAGGTCTTCAACTTAGCGCCTAAGAGGGACTGGGGCCTGGGCAGCTCCCCACCTGCAGCCCAGAGGACCAGAGATCAGGACCTGGGGACAGGCAGGACCCAAAGGCAAGGGACACAGTCAAACCTCAGAGCAGCAGGCCTTGGGAAGGAGGCGGCTTGTTTTTTTCTTTTTTTTTCTTTTCTCCCCCAGCAGTTCTTAAGGGGCTGGCTCAAACTCCACTTTCATGGGACTAGGAAAGCATGCTGCCTGGGTCCTGGGGTGGCCAGTGAAAGCCATGGTTCTGGGCAGCCCACTCCCTTTCCTTTAGAGACCCAGATACAGCATCTCCTTTGTTGTCTGTCAGGGCTGTGGGGAGGCAGCCTGAATAAAGCATGGTGACACACTCAAGCCAAATCTGCCAAGTTTCCCAGGACTGGGCTGGGCCGTATGGCAGGGAGAGGTGGTAGGGACAGCAAGTGGCCACCAGCCGTGGGACCTCTCCACACGCTGGGACCCCAGAGCAGGGCCCACTTTGGTTTGCTCTCTGATACTCCTCTCTGCAGCTCATCAGGTGTGAGATGTGGAGGAGGGCTCTCCTTGGGCAAGTGAAGAATGAGGTGCCTTGTGGGGTGGCCAGGCCCTCTGTCCCTGTTCCCATCCTTAGCCCTTGCTGTATGGTTGCCAAAGAAGTGACCCATGGAGCATCCAAGCAAACAAAAGCTCCTCACTCAGCAGCAGGGCTTATGCCCCTGAGGAGAGGCAAAAATACTATCGAGCTGGTGGGGGGCTAGGGGGAGCCTGCAAACCTGCCAGTTTGCAGGACAGACATGAAGGCCAGGGCGCACAAGTCTGTCAGCCCCAGGTGCGCAGTAGGACACACTGTGACCCATCACTGCCACTGGCAGGGGCTTGGGCCTGTGCGACGTGCCCGCCCACACGGCCCTCCCACACTCAGCTGGAAAATACAGGTGGGTTCCCTGGAAACAGCCAAACTCGTGAGAGGCAAACCTCCAGTCAGAGGAGAGGGGAGTCTTGCTCACCGCTGCCTCCCGTGGGGTGGTGCTCAGCACCACTGCACGGTGAACGAACAAGAAGAAGCCTGGGACAAAGGTCAGACCTTTCAGCACCACCCTTCTCCCACTTGAGCTCGCTGCCTGTGCACCCTGAGCTTTCCCAGAACTGACCCAGTTCCAGTGGGCACCTTCCCGGGGAGAAAATGCCCAAAGCCTTGTCTTCAGGGATGGAGGCTTCCTGGGGCAGAAAAAAAGTCCCTTAGTAGGACAGGCTCAGGCCAAGCAAGCCTCCCCTTGTGCTTTGTCCAGGAGACAGGGAGGGCAGCCCCTCTGGTCCTGGGGTCGCAGGGAGCAGGGGCTGTGGAGGGTGCAGCTGGCAAAGCAAGACAGACACACCCAGGGCAGCCAGGCCGAATGGACTTCCACCTCCCTTCCAGGCCCCGGAGCACAGGAGAGTCGTGCTTCTCCTTCGTGACTCCTGGGGACAGGGCTGGAAAGGTAGGAGCCAATGGAAGCAGCTGCTCTTGGGGTGGCGATGCCACACAGCCAAGGCTCCATGCAGGGCTGGACAGGGAGTTGCCAACATGACACCCTTGATATCTGGGGTCTTCAAAGGGCAGGGCCAGAATAAGCCACAGGAGGAAAAGTCATCAACAGTGGGAAGCGCCAGGGCTCAGCTGGGTGGGGAGCCGGGGAAGCTGAGTGCACTGCTGGGCCTGTGCCCGCCCAGCTCTGGAGGCCTCGTCACAGGGTAACCAGGGTGGACCTTGATGTCTGTGCCAAGGTGCGGCAGAAAGCTGCATCCCTGGAAAGGACTGAGAAACTAGTGGGGCCCAGCCGTAAGCCAGGACTAGTGGCCTAATGATTAGGACTGTAACTGGAGAGAAGGAAACCCTAAGATGGATCTAGATTCGTGTTTGAAAGAACTTTCCAAATGAACGTTGGCAGGATTCACAGCCTGTGTGCCGCTGTGGGAGTCCTAAGAGGAGGAACTGGGGAGCCCTGAGTCTTTAGAGCCATAGTGCCAGGACCTGGTCCTTGGGGAACCATGCAAGGTTGGACTCTAAGCCAGTGATTCTGACTCAGGTGCCAGCACTGCCCCCGGCAGAAGACCCCCACAACACAGCCCTCAGCCCGTGGGGCCAGCAGAGACTGAGGAGGGGGGCAAGTCCAATGTGGAGGCTCCTCCTCGTTCTCAGCCGCATGGGTCTGGCTCCCTACCAAGGCCACATTTTCAAGCAAGCTAGCCAGACAAAGAAGCAAAACAAACCACCCTCCTCCTGGCCTCCTCCAGGCCCCAGCACACAGGGCAGCCCACTGACTCCCTCCCACATCGCCTTAGGGACCCAAAGGCCATCAGACTCCTAAGCGAGCACCTGGATTAGAAGCAGGAACTGCGTCTCACTGCTGACAGCGTTTCCCAGAGCTAGGACCTCACCCCTCCAGAGGCTCAGGGTTGGTGGAAGGTATAGAAACATGCACCTTTTAGCTCTGAATTTAGTTCTGGTGTGTCGTGGGGTAGTGGTGACCGCCAGGGGTCTTGTCTTTTCTACAGCAATAAAAACTCTTCAGTTTTCTCTACCTGGCAATGTCTCCCCTTGGGAGGGGTGGTCTCGATACCCTGAATGTTTTGCCCTTCCAAGCCCGCCTCCCACTACCTGCCTGCACCTTCACCTCCCACCTTCGGCCAACCACATTCCCAGATCCCTAGGCCTGTCTGTGTTTTCCCTGGAGCGTGTGGACCCAGAGCCCCGGCGGAAGGCGGTGCCCCACGCAGGGCTGGGACAGGGCAGGGCGAAGAGAAGAGCCCTCCTTGCCAAGTCTGAGCTGCCTTGTGGAGCCCGCTCTGGCTGGGCGCCTAGCAGAGGCTCCTGACCCGGAGGCTGGGCCTCGGAAAGGGGAGGCCTGCCCCAGGAGCCCGAGCAGCCGAGGAGCCACTGGCGGTTATTGCAGACCCTCAGGGCAGTGACACCAAGTGCTGGTGGTGACTCAGCTCTTCGCTGCCTGTGCCCAGAGGGCTGCTCCAACTAGGGGTGGGGTGGGAGTCGGGGCCAGCTTCTGTCCGAACCCCTGCCCCGGAGAGGCAGTGCTCAGGGTCAGGCCTGTTGCTCCACAGTCCCAGCAGAAGGACAAAAGACTGGCAACGCCTCCCTGGAAGCCAGGGATAACACTAGGCCTCCAAAGGTCTAATCCAAATCAGGGGCCCTCTGGAGGTCCAAAGAGGGTGCCCTGGTGTGGGGCTGGCAGGGGCCCTGCAGCCCCCAACTCGGGTTAGCAGCCACCTTCCACCTTGATGTGCAGGATCTTAGAGAAGCCGGGCCTCCGTCGCAGGGCCTGCAGACCAAACCTGCGTTAGTTCCCCTCAGGGCCAGACAGGGGGGGCCCTCCCTTCAAACACCCAGGTCTCCAGCCCTAGCCTACAGATGTCACCTGGGGTCCTGGGTGGCCTCAGAGCCAACTGCTCACCTGGAGTTTTGTCACCATGTCCTCAAACAGCTTCTGGGCCTCAGGACTGCTGGGCTCTTTGAAATAGTCAGCAATCCCGATCTGGACCACAATGGACTTGAGGTTCCGGCAAATGCCTGAGAAAAGGTAGGTAAGGTGGGGACCACGTCTGGCCTGGGCTTGCCTGGGACAGTGGGGCTGTCTCCTCTCCTCTAGGCTAGTTAACACAATCAGAACCTCTGAGAGACGGTCACGTGCCAGGCACCGGGAGTAGACCCAGGCTCAGCTGGGCAAGGGGAGAAGGTGGAGGGTGAGGCCAAAGAGCACGGGCTGCGGTGGACTCTGGCAGGACAAGTGGACAACAGCCAGCTGTACACAGGCTCTAGCAACTTCCCTGGCAGAGGGGACAGCTGTATTATGGCCTGGGCATTTGGAAACGAACCGCAAGGACCGAGGGGCTGAGTGAGGTGAGGCTGATCGGTCTCAGCTGGAACGTGGATGAGGGGAGGAAGGGAGCAAATAAGTTGGCAGCAGAGGGCTTAAGGGACTGGATGTTGCCATGACGTTGGGGGATAAGGATCAAGAAGGTCAAGAGGCCAAGAGGATTCTAGAGGTTAGGATTTTGGAGGCTAAGCAGTTAGTTCCGGTGGTCAGTCCTGGGCAGGGCGGGGAGGCTGAAAGGAGCAGGAAGAAGAGGAGCCTGGGAACAACAAAAAGGTCAAGGAACCTCTAGTGCTGGACATGGGGCTCTGCCGGGGACCAAATGGCCCTGGATGATGGTCTCACTCAGGCGTGTGCAGCACAAGCTGCGCACCTGTGTCCTTAGTGAAGGTGGAAGAATGACCGGGAGGGGAATAGGGGGCTGGGGGGAGGCCGGGGCCAGAGGACGATGCTGAAGTCTTCACCCTGAGAACTGTCATGGGGGGCGGGGGGCGCATACACATTATCTCATTTAATCCTCCCACCCATTCTAGAAAGTCAGCTTAGAAGATGGAGATCCAGGATTCAAGAGGAGGATAGTGACTTGCTCAAAGTCACACAGCTAAGAAGCAGTGGAGCCAGAATTGAGACCTAGGCCAGTCCAACTCTGGAACCCGACTGTTCTCCTGCCGCACCCCTGGCTGGAGGCTCACGTCGGGGTGGATGGTAGACGGTGCTGCGGAGCTCACGTCTCCATCGTGGACCAAGCACAAGGCAATGACTGTTGAACTGAACCATTTGGATCAGATGCTGGCAAGGGTTTGAATGCCACACTGGCCTCGGAAGGCACTGGTAGTAAAGCCAGGACTAGAACCCTGGTCAGTCTGACTCCAGTACTGGTGTCTGCTGACCAGGAGCGACAGGGAGTCAGTTATGCTACTTGCTGACAAGCATGATAAGAGAAGACGGGCCTACCCTACCCTGCATCCCCATCACTCACTGTTGAAATGCAGCAGGGCCTTGGGGGTGACGGGGGTGGCCGTGAGCACCAACATTTCCAGTCCCTTCAGGCCTTCCCGGCAGACCTCAGCCGCCACCTCCTGGGTGATCTCCGACACGTGGTCCAGCTCCAGGACCTGCAGCCGCATGCAGTTTCTCGCTAGGAAGACAGAAGGGGGAGGGGTCCTGCTGACAAGCACCCCAGGTCACCCCTGCCCAGTGCTGTGGTGCTCCTGCCACCCCCGAGGCTGCAGCCCCGAGCCCCCCTGGGATTTCAGTGTTGCACCCATGCCTGCTTCCCAGCAGCCCCTACCCAGTCCCGAGGAAAGACTCACCGAGTGATGCCAGGCCCTGCACCCCACAGCCGGCACCGCCAACCCCCAGGGCCCGGAGGTGGGGCCAACAGCGACCAATCATCTGTAGGCAGCGGTTACTGAAGCGCGTGGGCTGCTGGCTGGAGAGAGGTGGAGGGAGGGGGTCAGGGAAGCCTCTGGCTGCCCGATACCCACACCTGCTCCTCTTTCAGGTCCTGCCATCCAAGGCCAGGCCCCACCAACCACCAAACCATTCAAGCCAGAAACTTGGGATCCTCCATGCCTCCTCTTCCCTCACCTCCCACCAAGACCTGCAGATTCTGATTCCTGAATAACTCTTCAACCCACAGTTCAGACCACCATTGATATTCATCTGGTCATATTAGCCTCCCTGCCCTGCCATCCTCCACACTGCTGACAGCGAGCCACTCAGTCCCACAGCCTCTCACTCAGTCATTCAACAAATGCTTCTCAAGTGTCCACTACGGCCAAGAACAACCGAGCTCAGCCTTGAGGACACAGTGGCGACAATATAGACATCATCTCTGCCCCCAAGAGGTGGACAGTTCTGGGAAGAAGGGGGCAGAACATTATCAGTCTGATAGAATTCTGTTTTTTAAGACCTAAAATCCCCCAATGGCTTCCCAGTGCTTCCTAGATAAAATGCAAAAATGTCAATCCCTTAGACAAGGCTTTCCAAACTTGGTCCATCCTTCTCCACACTCATTGTCCTCTGGGTCCTGCCCACCACTCACACCAAACTTAATGTTTCCCTGAACACTTCATCACTCAACAGTCGCCCAGGCAGCAGACGTCTCCTGGGTGTCTGCCATGCGCTCGGTATCGGGGATACAGAAACGGACATTCACAGCCTCTGCCCTGAGAAACGTGAGTCTAGTGCAGACTGAAATATATGAGAACTCATTGTAAAACGGAGGGGCCAGGACAAGGTGCCACCGGAATGGAAGCAGGGGAGCAGGGACAAATTCTACCAGAGTGTTAGTGAAGGGACACTGGGTGACCTGGGAGGAGGTGTCATATCCACGGGGGGCTTGGGTGGCAGGCACAGGGAGTGCAAAAGCCTGGTATGTGTGAGGAACTCCAAGTACAGCAATGGATGATCTCACACCCTGGATTCTCTGAAAGCCACTCGGTTGTGTATTATACACTGACCTCCCTGAACTGCCTTTCACGTGCCGAACAAACCTGGCTACTTCAGCCAGCGTTTATGAACACTCACGTGGGCTCTGCAGCCTTTATGCACACATCTCACTAGAGCCAGTGACAGTCCTAATACGACAGACCCTAACATCACCTTCACTTCACAGGTGAGGAACTAAGGCACGACTGGGTTTCCCAAAGTCACACTGCTAGCAAGCCAGGACGTGATCCTGAAGTCTGATTCAGAAGCCCTGCTCCTGTCGCCTAAAGACACAGACTGATGAACCTGTCACCCCAAACAGCTCATGGAAAGGGCCCAGATCTGCTCAGTCCTCAGCCCCACACCAGGCCCAACTCTGCCCCTCCCCACCCCTGCCAGGGCTCACCAGGGGTGAAGTGGTGCCACCTGGAGGGAGACAATCTCTCTGCAGCCTGCGCCCAGGGCCCAAATGACCTCATGGCCCACCGGGTCTGTGGCACTTCTGTTGAAAAGATAAAGCTGGCCATTGTGGTGGCCTCTGCACCCTTCCCCTGGGCCACAGAGCTCTTGGGTCCCTTTGCCCGAGAGCCCTGGGGGGAGGGTATGCAGAGCCCAGGGATCCCTTGGGCCCGAGGCCTTGCTTCCGGTGGTGTGGACTCACCTGTAGGTGACGGCCTGCAGCGCGCGGCAGTAGCAGCTGGCCAGCCAGAGCGAACGGTCGGTGAGGATGTTGGGACAGTGGGAGATGCGCAGGATCAGCAGATTCCCCCCTGCCGCCTTCAGCAGAGACTCCAGCCCTGCTTCCAGGCAGCCCCTGGGGATGGCCAAGAGGTCAGGGAGCTGCTCGTGGCCACCTCCTCGTCTGGGAAGCATCCTCACGTAGTCCTGGGTCTGGGACCCAGGAGCGCCCCCCCACTCACCCACCACAGCCTCACCGGGTACTCCGGGCATACTCCTCTTTGCTCTCCTTCTTGCCCCGCTGTCGGGGCTTCAGGTTCTGCAGGGTCAGCGAGTGGGCCTGGGTGCACCACTGAGCCAGCATTGCCAGGAACTGCAGAGAGAGGGGGGTTACCTGGGGATGAGGAGGTCTGAGTTTAGTTGGCTGGAGGTGGACCAACCCCAGGATAGAAGTCCCCATGAGATCATTTTGGGGACTCAGGCTGGAGCTGGGGTGTTATAAGGGTTGCAAGGACCAGACTTTGTGGGGATAAGAATCTGCCAGGAAAAGGCAGGTTCACAGCAAGGGTGACTCCGAGGGCAGGCGCGGCCGGCAGGGACAGGCACCTTGGAACAGACCCGGGCATTCTCCAGCAGCACCCGTGTCCAGACGGCAGGGTGGCGGGCCACGAAGCGCCAGTCCCGGCAGACCTCGGCGGCATGCAGCAGTGTGCGTGTGTCCAGGTAGGTGAAGATGCAGAACAGGGCGGCTCGCATCTTGAGGATCTCCGGGCTGATGACCTCATTGGAGCGTGAGGGGCTGCCCCTCTCAGCTCGCCGACCCCGCCCACTGCCGCCCTCGGGTCGGGCTATACAATACCAGAGGGTCAAAGGTGAATGTGGAGGGTCAAAGGCCAGGATGGGGATGCAGGTGGGAGGGTAGGAACTGCAGAGGAAGGGGCATGAGAGACCCATGCTGGGGGACCAGCAACTTGGGAGGAGGGACATAAGGTCTCTGCTTCTCCCTCCCCTGTGTCATTTCTATCCCTAATTTCGCAGGTTAGGAAAACGTGGCCCTTCCTTAAGTGAACTTTCTTTTTAAGATTATATATCAGCACATAGTCCAAAGTCACCCTAGATGAGGCAACTAACTGGGTCAAGATTGAAGAAGGACGGGGTTTGGAAGGCTAGGGTACAGATGGATAGAAACCATGCCTCTATGAACGGAAGGCAGGTGAGAGGCTGCCCAGAGCAGTCCCCAGGGCACAGCCACATACCAGGACCTGAAGTCTCTAGCCTCCTGACCCTGACCCTGACCCTGACCCACCCACATATGCGCATGGCCCTGTGTGTATATGGAGGGTGCCTTCCCCACTGGCCCTGGGCTTCTGTCTGAACACTCAACTCCCTTCCCATAAATGTCATGTGAATGGGCTGCCTTAGCTGTGGCATCCTTGTGCAATATCCAATCTGAGTGTCCCTGTGCGACAGCACTGCCCTGTCACAGCAGCTTGCAGGGCCCTGTGTAGGAGGGAGTTTGTCATTCTCACTGTGGGAAGTCTGGGGCAAGTGGACAGGAGGTGTGGGAGCCCAGGAGATTTACTGCCTCAGCCCTGTGTCCCATGAGAGGGCCCAGCACCATAGACAGACTGGCTTCTCAGTCCCCCCACCCAGGACTCACCTGAGAGCCTGCAGCTGCTCAATGGCCCAGCTGCAGAAGGCCCAGGGCGGGGGACTTCTGAGGGGCCTTCGGCCTCTGACTCCGTGGTCCGGGAGCCCACGTCCGAGACGTCACCCTCTTCCCCCTCGGTGCTGTGTCGGCGAGGTCTGCGCTGCCAATTCTGGATGGCCTGGCGCCGCAGGCCTGAGCTGCGAGGGGGCTGGGCTCGCTCTGAGCCACCATTAGCAGCCTGGACCCTTGTGCCCAAACCCCCGGGGCCACTGTCCTCAGGGGCCCCCTCTTCTGGCCGGGGCAGCTCCAGACTGTCACTGTCATAGCAGCCCGAGCTCTGGGATGCAGCTGGGATGCGGCTGGAGGCCCTGAGGTAGGGTGGACCAGATGGTGAGGAGCAAGGGGCACCAGGCCAGCCCGAACTCCCCGTACCACCCGTACCACTGGCCAAGGGCAACTCCCCCACCCTACTTTCCAAGAATCCCCTCTGAGTGTGGTAAAGCAGACAGACGTGCCCCAGGAAGGATAGTAGGAGGAGGAGAAGCCAAGCCATCCAGCCGGCCAGTGGCTCTTTCCAGGGGGAGGGTGGGCTGTGTGGGGCGGACTGGTCCCGAGGCTTACCCGGTGCTGGGAGAGGAGCCATGCCGTGACACCGCATATGTGCTGGGCATGGCTGGGCCTGCGTGGTGTTCTCGCTGTGGGCCCCCAGAGTGGGCCGGAAAAGCAGGGGGTAGAGGAGGCCAGAAGATGAGAAGGAGCAGGAGAAACAGGGCAAAAGATGGAGAGAAGAGAGCAGGGAGAGGAGAGAGAAGGAAACAAGTTGGGAAAGATGGACAAGTGGACAGACAGCCGGCCCAGAGAGACAGGATCACCAGCCCCTTCCCCCCACCCACCAAGCACCCCAGGCTCTCATGTGGCTCCGGGGCTCATTTGCAGGGAGTGGCAGAAGTGAGGACAGGGGTTGCTGGGTCCTATCTCCCTCCAGCCTCCGGGCTGGCACTTGTGCCGTGAAAGGGGCTCCCCTGTCCCTGGACCCCTGCTTCAGGCCTGGGGTCTGCTCATGGGGAAGAGCCAAGAAAGGGGAGCCTGGAGCATTACAGGGGGGGCATCAGGCCGCGTGTGAGGCGGGGTTGCAGGGGCTCAGGCGTGCAGGTGGAGGACAGCAGGCAGGTGGACACTCACCGTTCTGCCTGGGCCGCCCCGGGCCCGGCCCGGCCGGCGACCTCGCCCCTCCCCGCGCCGACGG